ATTGGTATAGAAATAAAAAATAAAATTTACGTATAAAAAACTACATGAAAAGTTCTTCGAAATAAGAAGTGTCAAGAATATTTTATTTTATCAAATAACCAATGAAAATGTAGAAATAAAAGAAAAGTTCCTGCAACTACTAAAAAAAGCAAATGTGAAATATATTTAGGGACTGAAGGAGTACTCAACAAAGTGTTTTTGCACACCATATGCACTACAATAGGGAGGGAGGGAGGGAGAGAGAATCATCCCAAATATTTTTTTAATACTAACAATGGTTAAGTTAGTCTTTGAATCTCTTAGCTAGGAGTATTTTATTTGCGCCATTTTCCTCGAACTCTTCAAAAATTGTGTGGATTTTCATGAATTTTAAAAATTGTACCAATGGTTTCTGAACTTTTGAAAACGATACATCAATGGTTTCATTGGGCTAGATTTGACAATGCGTTAATCACACGTTCATCTAGCACATAGAGACCATTGACGTAATGCTTTTAAATGTTCAAGAATCATTGGTATAATTTTTAAAGTTCAAGGAGATTCACACAATTTTTGAAAAGTTCGGATGTAAATGATACAAAAAACTCTTCTTAATAAAGAACTTTTACTCACACCATATGTTTTGCTAGTGAATGAAAAACTAATGACAATTTAGTGTGTGTTTCTCTGTGCTTATAAGCTGTCTAAAACTGCTTACGAACAATTTTTAACTTATAAGTCAGCAGATGACGTGTTTCTCTATATAATACTTATAAACTGCTTATAAGTCAGAAAAATTAAGTAGGTCTTATATATTTATTATTTTTAAGTCAATTTTTTCGTTTCTCCATTTTTACCAGATTATTTATATTTAAAACTTTCCCTCACTTATTATGAATATTCCCAAATCACTTATATATTGTTTATAGCATTTTATCTGCACAAAAGAATTTTTAAGTTATAATTAGCTTATAAGTTAAAAACTGTTTATAAGCAATAAGTCATTAAACACCAGAACACATAAACACCTACTTAGTTACTCCCTCCGTCCGGAAATATTCTTCCCGTGTTGACTTGGCACGCTTATTAAGGAATAGTAAAAAAAGGCAAATTTTTCAAAAATGCACATACTATAAACTTTTAAATCTCTTTTTATTATTAAAAAAGTACTAAAAAAGTAGATTTGTGATAAAATAGAAGGGTATTATTGATATTTATCCTTAAAAAGTATTCTAAAAAAGAAAATGGGAAGAATATTTCCGGACGGACCAAAAAGGAATTGAAAGTGGGAAGAATATTTCCAGACGGAGGGAGTACAAAATTGCAAGTTGTGATGAAGCTCCGAATTCTAGTTCAAAACTTGAACTAATTTAAGTCCATCCATAGATGGAGAATCTCTGGTGGCATGACAGGTTGGGAGTGTATATTAAGGAAAAGCACCTATGCTAATGGTAATGCTATGCAATGAATAGTGAGGCATTCAACTTGTTGATGACAATGGCCGTGTTTTTCTTCCTCATGATGTGATAGATATACATAGATATAAGAAGAGGAGAATATTGTCCCAACTCCACTACCCTCCATTTTTTTTGTTCTTTTTGAGAGAAATATATATAATGACCTTATGATTGAATCAACAAAGAGAACAAAGTGAGGATGTGTTGAGATGCATTCACCATGAATCCATGATCGGACTCAAACCTCCTTGTATAGCACATGAACCATAACATGCACCATTGCATCGTCAAATAAAAGAAAACGAAATAGAACAAAAAAGCAGCCGCCAACTCATATTAATCATCAATTAAAGTACCAAAATACGAGCTAGATGAAAAGGTAGGATTTTAGGGGGAAAAATATAGTGATATAGCTTAGACGAGAAAAAAGTACTCTATTTAAGTTCAACTCCTGACAATGTCGATGAATGACGGTCATGCATTATATAGGCCATTCACTTTGATTAGCCGATTGGCTTGAACGATCAAAATTAGCCGATTGGCATAAAAAAGTTCATGCATAATATAGGCCATAAAAAAGCCTCTTTGATTAGCCGATTGGCTTGAACGATCAAAATTAGAAAAGCTACAATTTGTAGCGTTTGAAATTGGCCTTTCACTTTTTTCCCTTTTCCCTAGCAATTTAAGATTTTGATTAAGAATTTAATACTATTAAATACTCCCTTATTTGAAACAATTTAATACTCCCTCCGTCCCTGAAAACCTTTCTTCTTTCTTTTTTCATCCGTCCCAAAAAATACTTCTCATTTCTATTAAAAAGTAACTTTTATCCCTTACTTTTTTATACCCTACCTATCACATCATACATTTTTATTAATAATCTATCCATCAAATCATACTTTTACCCTTCACATATATCAAAGGACATTTTTGGAAATTTAATACCAAAATACGCTTCTCTTAAATCCCTTTTCAAAATCAAAACTCCCATGTTTTCCGGGACGAAGGGAGTACTATTTTATAAGACGTCTAAAAATGTTTCTTTACTTTTTTAGAAAACTAATACTCTCTCTGTTCTCAAAAACACTTCATCTTTCATTTTTTCCACTTCCAACAAAACACTTCCACTTTCTTCTAAAAAACCACTTTTACCCTTACTTTTTCATACCCTATCTATCACATCATACTTTTTCTCTAATAACTTATCCAACACATCTTACTTTTACCCATCACATCAGGGGCAAAATTGGAAGTCAACTATAATTTAACACTTCCTTATTTTTGCTCCAAATTAAAATAGGAAGTCTTTTTGCAAACGGAGAGAGTATGTGAATAAAATTGATTTTATCTTTTCTAAATAAATATCAACCCATTTTTTAATTTTTGTAAAATTAGATAGTCAATTTTTTCAAAGACAAATAGTGTGTGGACTACTAGACTTTATTAAAAGAAAATTGTTCTACTCCGTAAGGGTAAAGAGTATATAAAATAAGAGGTGATATTGTAAGAATTATAGGACGTTGAATTGCATTGTTCCATTGATACAAAAGAATATAAATATACATCGGTGATACAAACGAAGAGTCCTCCCGGTGATACACACGAGGAGTCCAACCTAACTAGCCCAAAACAATACATGGCTAAACTTCCCCCTTAAGTTGGAGCATTAATATCAAAATGCCCAACTTGGACAATAAACAGTGAAATAGAGGACCAGACAATGCTTTAGTGAAGATGTCCGCAGTCTGGAGACGCGTAGGAATATAAGCTGTGACAACATGATTTCGTTGGATGCACTCCGAACAATATGACAATCACTTTAAACATGAAGTTATTGGGTGTGGATCATCGTAAAAAAACGCTTTAAACATGAAGTGACTTCACTTTTAGATTTAATGAGATAAACCCAAACAGTCCGGGAAAAATCATCAACAATAGTCAGAAAATAATGAGCCCCAGAAGATATGCAAGGTGAATAAGGTCCCCACAAATCACAATGAATTAAATAAAAAATAGCATCAGCTTTATTATCACTAGAAGGAAATGGTGAACAAGTTTGTTTAGATAAGAAACAAATTTCACAAGTCTGTAATTTTTTGACAACAGATTATGTTTTATTGGTACCTAAGAAAGGGAGTACATCCACGGATGGGTGTCCTAACCGTTTATGAAGAACAAGAGGATCGATATTTGCTACGAGGGCTGACGCTAGAGAGGAAGCAAAGACATATATGCTGTTTCACAAATCACCATGTCCAATCACAATCTTCGATAAATGGTCTTAGCTTGTATTACACAAGGATGATCATTAAAAGTTACACAACAAGTATTGTCACGAATTAAACAAGCAACATAAATCAAGTGACACTGTAAGTTTGGTACATATACGTAATACCAAACTGGATGATAAATGCACACTCCCTTGTTTGACAGCTTGAACATGAGACCCATCAGGGAGACATATAGGTTTAGAAGAAACATCCTCAATATTAGATAAATGAAACACGGTTCCTGTCATATGATGGGAAGCACCACTATCAATCAACCACTGACAAGAATGTAAAGGCATACCACCAGATTGATTACCACGAACTGTATTAGACGACATGGCATATGTGGTAGCAAAAAATGGGTGAGGGTCCGTTTGGTATACGGAATTGATAGAATTGAAATTGAATTGGAATTGAAATTCTATGGGATTCAATTCCATAGAACTGAATTCACCAATCCCAATTCATTTTTTGCACTATCAATTTCAAATCCACGTAATTTTTGTGCTACCAAACACCAAAATTAGAATTGAAGTCCTCAATTCCAATTCTATAGTTTGAATTCCGTGTACCAAACGGGGCCTGAAAGTTGCTAATTTGGAATTGAGAACCTCCCCCTCTGTACGGCTAAATGGCGACTGAATTGAGGATAAAAATTATGTCTCCTTGAAATTATCCCTTAAGATTTGAATCTCCACTTTAATAATTGAGGTTCTCCTCCTTTCAATTACGGACTATGTCTGGCGCAAGAATAAATCATTAGGCTTCGCCATGGACGATGAACTTCGGTAATTTGAATTTCGACGGATCTGGACGGTTGGGACGGAATTGTGCCGGCTGACCTGGACGGATGGGACAGATATGATTCTTATTTTGTAAAAATGATAAATGGATTAAATTCAAATACAAAAAAATATTAGTGAAGAAACTCTTAAGTTATACTCCATAACTGTAAATACGTCTTGGAACAAAAATATTACGGAGTATTTAATACTCATTTGCTTATATGGGGTGTGTTTTTTTTTAACAAAATTCAAAAATGATGGAGTAATATTTTTGGTACAAGAAATTAAATTAATGCGAAGTAGAACAAAACGTTAATTAACGCATACAAATGCAGATATGTCTAAAAATTACTCCGTCCATTCACTAAACTCTTCTTCTTTATTTGTTCTAATAGTGGGTTATCTGACAAGAACCTTTCATTTCTATGCCAATAAAGAGAACTTCAGTGTCCATCTTCAACGCAAGTATTCGAACATAATTAACATAATTGTAACACTTTAATTTGTCCAGGTCTGCATCCCCTTAATTTTAGATTCAAATTAACTTAGTAACATAAAAATTTCAAACATTTAAAACTTTTTTTATAACTATGCAAAAAATTTTGAAATAACACCGGAATACAGTTATTTAAGACAGTGCAAAAGCGATTTGCAAATTACAACAGTATGGTCAACCCATAATCCAACATGTGATAAAATTATTTACTCAAATAGTAAATTTAATTTGGACACGTCCACGCATCACTTCCATCTCAGTACGTTCCAGGATAGGCTTCACATTTATTCTCTCTCATACCTACGCACGTGTAGAAAGATAAAGTCTACACGCCAAGCAATGAAGATGAATGGTACCATAGCACAACAAAAGAGTTCACAGAATAATTTGTTTCACAATATCAATCACATATATATATGTTCAAACATTCACTTTTATATTCAAAATCATCTTTGTTACTTTTACAGTGGTAATGAATATATATACGGAGTACTCCGTATATTTTTTTGCAAATGGCCCCCTAATCATTTTAGAATTTATCTGTCAGGATTTTTAGAGTTAATGGGTAAAGATTTACAAAGACAAAATTGCTCGACTTTAAAAAATATAGAAAGTAAAAAAAACAAAAATCATTAGTTTTGAAAGGAGGAAAAATATATTCAACATTTACTCCCACTAGCCTACAACCGGTATGAGTGATTTCATTCACGTCCGTTAGCATTCATGTCCATTTGGGATATGATGTGATGTTGCATTGAAATTACTTTAATACCCTCATTTTTACCGCAGGAAGCTGAGGAACATTAGTAGTGTATGTGTCCCTACTTGGAAGTTATAATTGAGAATTTAAGATAGTTAAACATTTGGTTTTTTTCAACATTCTTGGATAAATCCCATCAAAAGTGTGGGGAAACAGTAGAGCACCATAATTCTTTGAATCATTTGGGGGTGACAATCTTTAAATTCTTGATCTTGTAATTTTCTACCACAATCTTACATTTGTAGATTGAAATATGAGATTTTACTTGTTTGATTTGTGTTGTTTGTGAGCAATTGCTCTTGAAAATACTTTGAATGATAAACAACTGCCAAAGACTACTCAAATGTGAGATGAAAATACACCTTTTGACACTTAACAGATGGTCATTGCCATTTAAGGGGTTCTTAATCTTTGAACCTTATATTTTCTTGAGGATAAATGCCATCATTGAGGCAATAGAGTAAGGATGTTTCTCTAAGCTGATAAAAAACTTAACTGAGATTAAGAATTCTATAACAGCTAGGAGAGAATGGATTTATGTCCATTAGCATTCAAAGATGGCCATGGCCTTTTAAAGGGCTCCTCACCTTTGCCAAGATGGACACACAATGGAGTATATTCTTTGAAAAAGCCATCATTGGCCTATGGAATTATGTCTTTATCTAAGCTCATCAAAAACTCAACAAATATTACAAATTATATAACAGCTAGGAGAGACAATTCATTTATGTCCATTAGCATTCAAAGATGGTCTTTGACATTTAAGAGGCTCTTCATCTTTCCCAAGATGGACATTCAACCATATAATTCTTTGTGAATGCCATTATTGGGGGGAATTGAATTAGATGTTTCTCTAAGCTGATAAAAAACTCAACTAGTATTAAGAATTCCATAACAGCTAGGAGAGACAATTGATCTATGTCCATTAGCATTCAAAGATGTCCATTGCCCTCTAAGGGGCTCTTCATCTTTGCCAAGATGGACATACAATCATATAATTCTTTGTGAATGCCATTATTGGGGGGAATTGAATTAGATGTTTCTCTAAGCTAATAAAAAACTCAACTAGTATTAAGAATTCCATAACAGCTAGGAGAGACAATTGATCTATGTCCATTAGCATTCAAAAATGGTCATTGCCCTTTAAAGGGCTCCTCATCTTTGCCAAGATGGACATATAAATTTCCAAAAACCCAATCTCAACTAAGATCAAGAATTCTACAAAATCCAATATTTGACTATAATCTGGAAATTGAATCAAAATTGTTGATGAAAACTAATGAGCTTATGAAAAATTAGTCTCAAGTGAAGAAAGGATATGATCAAATAGTCAAAAAAAAAACACCAAAGTGGAGTAAATATAGAAAATCAGGAGAACTGAAACGCGAGAAATGAAAAATAAAAGAGCAAATCGGATCGGGTACCAACTGATTATTGATTGGGGGAAATGAGGTTCTCTGTTGCGGCAGCGGCGCTGTCGCCGGCGGCTTCGTCGTCTTAGAGAATCAGCCGAGTATCGATTTAGGGCATAATTGTGTATTCCGTAACTCCGTATTTATATTGCCTGAAGGGATTATTGATTCCTCCGCACGAAGGGTTGAAGCCCATTAAGAACATATAATGTGGATTAGCCCATGGCTGAGACCATGATCTGTTTACTTCCTCCATCTTAAACTAACTTTTTTGTTTGCCCTCCAATTTTAAGTGCACTCATAAGTTAATTTGGTCTCTTAAGTTTGGTTTAGTCAAATTAGTCTCCATAACTTGGAAATGTGCATCATAATAGTCTTTTAATTAAAAATTATATTCTAAACTTATAAGTTAATCCGTTAATTAATACGGAGTATAAAAACTAATATATGTGGTCATTGCTATTACGTTAATTAACGTGATAACTCAAAATTTTATGAGATAAATTATGTTCGAAAGACTAACTTGATTCACATTTTTTATATATAATGATTAATTTGACTAAAAAATTTCCAAGGACCAAATTGAGTCGTGAATAAACTTAGAGGGACCAAAATGACTATTAACTCGCATAGATGCGAACCACATATTTCATTCCTAAAAAGAGATAGATTTTTAGTTTGGAAAACATGTAAAATTTATCTCTTTTATAATTATTTTAATTAAAATTTGGTATTAGAATAAAAAACATAAATTTATAGCTCAAAAGTACATAAAAAAAATTTCAAAGCAAAAGTTGACAAAAATATTTTATTTTTTAGATGATCAATAAACACAAACAAACAAACGAAAGTTATCAAGAGTCTATAACGATATCAATGAACTCTTAATGCAATTTTGAGACACGAGTAAGGATAACATTTTGACACATAAGTAAATAATTTTTACATAAGATCTCAATGCAATTTATAATGTAGAACCATATAGTCGGCATTTAATTTGGAAGAAATTAGCAACGGCAAGGAAGAGAATGTTCGCATCGAGGGAACGATGGACTACCGGCGACCGGGAAACCCTAATTCGATCAACGATGAATGCTGCACCGATGGATAATTTGTAGTCAGCGCTACTCTAATTGCATTTAGGTCTACTCGGGTGATTAGTGTTGCTCTAATTCCGATCGATGATGAACACTGTTCAATTACGATCGGGTCTTCTGCGGAGAAGAAAGAAGGCAGGCGAGAAGAATTATAGATTTCTGGAAACAAAGAGGGGATGGAAATTTCAAGCTTGAACGACTTATTGAGGTGGTATGAACGCTATGTTGTTTAACAATGAATACTACGTAGTATATTATTTCAGAATGAACATTACGTTATTCATAAATAAATATTAAAATTGTAATGAACAAATTTGTGAAAGTAAACACTAGTTGTTTTAGGCTCAAAACAACAAATAAAGGATAGGGTGAAATAAAAAAATTAAAAATATATTAGATTTTAAACTAAAGAAATACAATACACAAAGATCTAGAAATATAAACATGAATATTTGGTTTACATATTATATTATTAAATCTCTATGTACTGTATCTCTAAGTTTTAAGATCATATAGAACATACAATTCGGTATGTTTCTTCGATTGGCCACTTTTTAAGAAGAAAATATAAGGTTGAAAAGGCGGTGTGTGAGAGGTCTCTAGAAACACAAACAATTGAACAAGCATTCATTTCTTTCCTGTTGTACCATCTCCAGCAAGAACAAAAAGGATCGAGTACCACATGATTATTGATTGATTGGTGGAGCTGAGGCTCTGTTGCGGCGGTGGCGGTGGCGGCTCAGAGCAGCTAAGCTGAACAGATTATTGCTTCCTCAGTGCCAAGGGTTGAAGCCCATTAACAACACGGCCCACCATTCTATTTAGCATGTTTTATGGTATTTTACTCCGTACGGTACAGAATTAGTAATTGGAAGTTCTTTTTTGAAAGGTCAAATAGAAAGTTTTTTTTAGGAAAAAGAATTAAACTAGAAGTGAAATATAAAAAAAAATCTTCAAAAAATGAAATTTACACTAAATAGTACTAAAACATACTCCTTCCATTCCTTAAACTCCTTCCCCTTTCTTTTTTTCTTGTCCCACTAACTCCTTTGCTTATCTATTATGGAGTAAAAGACTATTTTTATCCCTTACTTTTCCATACCCTACATAGTACATATCACATCATATCCTTTTTACTAATAATTCATACATCACATCTTACTTTTATACATCATATCAAAGGTATTTTTGGAAAGTCAACACCAAAATATCTCTCCCTTAATTTTCCAAAAAGTCAATAAGGAAAACTCTTTCGGGGACGGAGGAATTATGTCTTTTCTCAATACAATATTTAAACTATTTTATTCCTTAAATATTACTTAAATAATGTCTAGTGATGGTGGACACTTTAAACAATATCATGTGACATTACTCAAACAATGACTAGTGGACATTGAACAATGATATTATATTTGAAAATAAAAATATATGGTACTACATTGAAAAACTCATTATGTTTTAGTATTATTTAAGTAAATTTCCAAATAAGAGCTCCATGTTTACATATTATAATACACACACTCATATCTCAAGGCTCAAAACAACAAATGAAGGATAAGGTGAAATAAAAAAAATTAAATATATATTTGATTTTAAATTGAAGAAATACAGTACACAGGAATCTAAAAATATAAGCATAAATATTTGATTTACAAATTATATTATTAAATCACTGTGTACTGTATTTCTAAGTTTTAAGATCATATAGAACATACAATTCAATAAATTTTTTCAATTGGCCACTTTTTAAGAAGAAAAGATGTGGTTGTAAAGGCGGTGTGGGAGAGGTCGCTAGAAACACAAACAATTGAACGAGCATTCATTTCTTTCATGTTGTACCATCTCGTGCAAGAACAAAAAGGATCGAGTACCACATGATTATTGATTGATTGGCGGAGCTGAAGTCTGTTGCGGCGGCGGCTCAGAGCAGCTAAGCTGAACGAATTATTGCTTCATCGGCGCCAAGGGTTGAAGCCCATTAACAACACGGCCCACCATTCTATTTGACATGTTGTATGGTATTTTACTCCGTATGTGCCATGTAAATGGATCATGTTACAAATTCTTAATCATTAGTTAAGAATTAGAATTTCTTCTTTGAAAGGTCAAAGAGAAAGTTTTTTTTAGAAAAAAATTTACTGTAAACTAAAAGTGAATATAGAAAAAATATCAAAATAAGAACTTCATGTTTTTATTTTTAAAATAAAATTTATAATACCAATAATGTTAACACTTAGTATAAAAAATATTGTGAAATGTCAATATACAGTGACACGTTGTCTCAATACAAATTCCTATTTTAGGAATTCATGTTTTACTCCTATTTTCTTCTTTAATAGACCATTCTCCCATTTTGATTTCTCAGGTCATCTAACCCTTTGTCAATGTAGCCAATCTCTAGAAAATGAACCCTAAATAGGTCCTAGAAGTACTATAAATCTACGAGAAAAAAAATAAAATAAAAGTAAAATATTAAAAATATACTAAAGCAAAACTTTCATATTTTTATTCTCAAAATAAGAATTAAACTGCATTTATAGTTACAATCATGACCATATACATTACCAAAAAATACGATGAAATGTTAATGTACAGTGCCACATTACCACACTAAAAACAAAAATATTGAGCTCACATTTTCATACTTTTTCAATGTTTTACTCCGAATTCTCTAAATCTATACCACTATAAAGCCCGGGTTAAACACATCTTAACTACATGCCCGATTGATGGCATCCACTTTCCTAAAAATGAAAATAAACCAAATGAGGAATACACCCAAAGAGAGGAAAAGCAACAAATATAAAACCATTACTTAAGGCAACAACATAAGAAGCAGCATTCTAAGATGAACACAAAGAGTAGGAAACAACAACAAAAAACAGTAACATCAAAACAGCAAGGAACTCCTATTTGTGTTGCTTCTTCCATGAGATGCCAAGCCTCTTAACCATATTTGCATTCTTCCTCTTCTGCAAATCTTCATCCCCGTCTTCCTTTTCCGCGAATCTTTCTTTCTCCCCTGGCGAAAGAATTGCAGCGGCAGCCTCTGCAGCCTTGCGCCATTGCTCACACTGCACCTTCATCCTTCTCATCTCTGCTCCCATTTCTGCATTTTCATCTGACATCTTCTTCATCTCCGCTTCCTTCTTCGCTAGATTTTCCTTCACACATTGAATCTCTCTTTCCAACTCCATTTCCTCCTGCCCAGAACGTCTGTTCTCCAGTTCTAAGGCTAAGTTTTCATTCTCTTCGCATATCCCCTGCAATTCGGTTTCCTTGTCCATAAGGTTTGCCTTCAACTCCTCAACTTTTGCACTCAGTTTCTGCACCTCGGCTTTAAGCTCAGCCTCTTTCTGGTTTGAGGAGGAGAGCATCCGTTCAACAAACTCGTAGGCACTTCTGATCTTGATAGTGCTTAGGGTTTCTTCTTCAGTGTTCCTCACTTCGGATGCCTCCAAAGCGTCGCTCAGGCTTTCAATCTCAGATTTCATGGAAGAAATCTCCATTTCAAGAGCTTTCTGGGTTTCTTCTGATCTGATCGTCTCTGCAGTTCTTCTTGCTGCTTCGAGCTGCAGCAAGGTTTCATTGACAAGAGCTTTTGCCTGAGCTTCTGAAACTTTGCAGTCCCTTAGTTGGGCTTTCATTTCCTCCACTAGCAATAGAGTACCGGGAAGATTTTCCTTCAAGTTCTCGGATTGGGTGGCCTTTGGGAATGTCTGTTTCCACAGAAGTTCTTGAGATTCTTCAAGTTTAGAAGATAAGAGAGAAAGCTGCTTTTTCGACTCGTCTGCTTCTTGATTTGCTTGATTCTTCAATGCTTCTGCGAAACGTAACTCCTCTTTCACTTTCTTTAGATCATTCTGCAGCTCAAAAATCTGAGATTCCAACTCACTGTGTCTGCTTGGACGCGTCTGCAAAATTGCAAAAAAAAAAAAAAGAAATTGGAGTTTGAAAATTATTACTTTTGATGATCCTTTGTATAAGTTAAGAGACTTCATTAATATTTCTAAAATTAGAGACATATTTTTGAGATATAAGAAGTTTGATCATTAGAGAAATAAGTTAATGGGAAGGGTGAAATTAACTTTAAGGGCTCACACCTCATAACCTAAACTATGGGGTGACCTTTGCTCATTGCCTTTGGGACTTCTCTGCTTTGGGCTGCTAATTACATGAGAGGATGCCTTAGCACCGGAGTTTTCTGGCAAAAGCTTGCGGGCGACGCGTGGAGATACCTTTTGAAGAGATGTATAATGAGAGGAATTTCGTGGAGATGATTTTCGACGAACTTCTTGAGAAATGGGCTGTGGTGAGATTTCTGTAGGCACTTTCGAAGATACCGATTGTGGTGATCTTTTTCTTCTTTGAGGTGCCTCAGAGGAACCAATTCTGCACGAATACACAAAATGTAGAATCAAACAAGCCATATAAATGAACAAATCAGCAAAGATGGATACCAAATGCAAGCTTCAAAATCCCATTGGGACACATAATTACACAAACATAACAACATTTAGTATTTACTCAGTTCCCAATGCAAATCTGCAATCTCCCAATCAATTTTCAAATGTGTGGATAGTATAAAGCTAGAGATTAAAAGCAATGGAAGAGAAGAATTGGGTTTTACCTTTGCTTTTGAGTCTGCATATCTCACCCAACCACCACCCTTTATCACAACTCTATGAGTATCATGAATGAGAGAGCATATTGAGTGAAAAATGAGAGTGTGGGTTCAATTTAACCACTTGAATGCTAGCTCCACAGTGCCTTGCAGATGTTGCTATCAACCCAAAGCTAATGGGCAACACAAGTAGATTACTACTAGTCATCCATTGACAACACACCACAAATCATAAATGCACCCCCCACACAAATAATTGAAAATCTTATTTGATCAAGGTGTGACCTAGACAAATCTTACTTGCACTAGGGAAAAAAAACATTTATCGTTGTAAACTGAAAACCCATTTTAAAGAGTATTTTAGACAGTTAGAAACAAATGAAAAGAGAAATTTTCAAAAAACAGGAAATATAAAGTCACAAAACATGAAAGATTTGCCAAAATAAATCATGGGGGAAAAAATGGGAGGACAATGAAATAAAAATGCCAGAATGTGGTTGAGCTATAAGATATACGGAGCATTAATGTCATTCTTGTCACATTGAATGCAGTGTCACGAGGAGAATGGGACAGTGCAAGCAAAGTGTGGGGCCAAAATGTAAATGAGACCCTCATTCAAGGGCAATCTTGTCACTCAAGATTTTATCTCCATTATAGCCGGATCACAAGGGGCTTCTGTGATTCATATGCGTGAAATTTTAGGTTTAGGGTTTGAAGATTCAGAGAAAATATGGGTGGAAAAAACTGGGCTTTCTGAGTTTTGAACAAATGGGAATTCATTTTCAAGAATGGGTTTGAAGAAAAGAGAAGAAAGGTGAGAACTTTACCGGATATGAAGATGCTCCACATTTGCAGACTTTTACACTGTCAACAACAACAAAAGAGCTAAACAACAACAACGAAAATGATCTCAAGAACCAACTAGAAACTGAATAAATTACTGCGGAGTGAAAAAAATTTACCGAGAGAAAATGAAGAAACAAGTAGAGGAGCGTGCAGTAAAATGTTGGAGTTTTGAAGAGGGAGGCCGGAAAATGGAAGATGGGGAGAGCATAGTACCCTGCTGGAAGATGAAGAGGCAAGTAAGCAACTACTCTCCTGACTCTACAGTCTACAATGGAGTAGTGGATAGTATATTTTAATAAGAATATATAATAAAGGCCCTGTTTGGAAAACGGCTTTTCGGATAGCTTTTGGCATGTTTGTCTGATTTTGGCTTTTTTGACTGAGCGAACAGCCAAAATCATTGTTTGGCTAATGGCTTTTTCACTTGGCATTTTGATCCGAAAAGCCAAAATCCGAAATGTCAAGGGGAGTAGCATTTGGACTTGGCTGTTAGGAAAATTAATTTTTTTAAAGTCATTTTTCTTGAAAGATATTTTATAATATATGTAAAACTAAAAATAAAAATAAAAGTTAAAAAAATTAAATGCTAAAAAAAATTAAATTTAAAAATTAAAAATTTCAAAAAATGAAATGAGAAAATAAAAAGTAAAAATCATTAAAAAGTTGTATATTAATAATTTCTTATGAATTAAATGAAAGTAAAATTTAATACTCCATATAGTAAAGATTTAATTTTTACGTGTAAAAAAAGAAAAATAAATATCGTGTGTGTGTCTATATATATATATATATATATATATATATATATATTGGTTCGATGAGAATGCGATCTTATGAAAGAAATAAGAATGAATTTGGTGATTTAGATTGTGAGATCTAAGGTTTAGGATTGCATCAAAATTAGGTGTACCAAAATAGTTTGAAAATGCGTCATGTCGAAATGCACCAAAATCCTTTGAAGATGCATCATCTCAAAATCTGAATGCAGGATGCAATCTGAGTCGCACGATGCATCAGATCCAAAGGCTAGATTTTATTTTTATTTCTTTCACCAAGGTGCATTCTCACCTGAACCGGCCCCTATATATATATATATATATATATATATATATATATATATATATAAAATACTATTTTCAAACAGCTAATTTTACTAAACATTTTTAACAATTAGCCAATTCATCCTGTCGGTCAAACCAGCTGAAGTAAACAGCCATTCACAACAGCTGACACGAACTGCCAACAGCTAACAGCTGACAGCCAACATCCAAACAAGGCCAAAGTAAAAAACATTATGAAAAGGAAAATGCTAAAAAAAACCCCACCATTGCTACCAACCATGCCCTCCCTACATAAACATGTGGTAGGGAGGCAAGAAAAGTAAAATGGTGGGGTGTGTGGAGAATGGGTAGAGATAAATATGTGGTGGAGAAGTGGGTGGAGGCAAGGTTGGTAGCAAGGGTGGGGGGTGTGTAGCATGGTCCTAAAATACTAAAATACGGAGTATGAGTTATACGTTTTTTAAAACCAAAATAGGACTTCACACTACCATTGTTATACTGTTACACTTACCACATTGTTATATTGTCACACTTACCACATTGTCACATTGGAACTGCCACACTATCATAGCCACATTGCCATCCGTCGCCTCCGGCCACCAGAGTGCCGCCGCGGATCAATGACGATTGACTGATCACACCGATATATTGCACTGTCACCGTATCCTATTATATCACACTACCATTATACTCCTATTTTGGTCTTAAAAGGCTTAAAACTCCTATTTTAATTTGGATTGGTATACACTGTGACAAAATTTCACTGCTTCAACAATGCGAGACTGTGAGCAATAGCCGATTGGGTTGATATGGTTAATTTATCCTTTGTGCTTTAGGTTTTTTATAATAAAAAATTTTATTAAATCCTCAAAGAAAAATAGAATCAAAGGATTGGTGTCGACCGATTCATTTGATAGTTGTTAGTGATGCAGTGAGCTGAGTAGACTGATATACATATTTTAACCACTTTAAAATTAAATATAGACAGGTAAAGCGTTTTTAGACAAACGGTTATCACTTACTTTTTGCTGAGCCTGTTTGAGAATAGCGTTAAAGATTAGCGTTAGCGTTTTGGATAAAATTTTAACGGTGCAGATTATTTTAAAAACGCTAACGCTAAATGTTGCCCGTAGATAGCCTTTTCAAAGCGTTAACGCTAATCGCTAACGCTATTCCCAAACAGGCCTGCTATTAACATCTTTTCTAATTATTTTTTTAAAATCTCCTTGAAATACAAGTAAATAACTTAATTTGGGCGTATTTAATATTGCCCCTAAAAAAGTGGCCCAAATTGCGAGCGTACACACTCAAATTCCGGCACCACAAACTCCGTATAAAAAAACAAGCATACATACCACATGGGTATTACGGAGTAGGTATAAAGCCAATTAAAAGCACAACATTGTTTGGTTGGACCGTATGTTCACATTATCATATACGGAACTTCGGAGTGTGTAAATACGGAGTACAATTTAGTTAATAAGATAATAAATAAAAATAGTTAACTAAATGTATTCAACTCTACTTCAAAAAAATGTATATTCAACTCTCATGTGTGGACTAAATTGAATATAGCCACCTGAAATAGAGTAGTCCGATTGAATCGATTAAGAACAATTAGCCCGGACTTATTAATTTACACCATCAACTCTAATGATAATAATAATAATCACTATAATTTTTTTTCATTTTTTTTTAAAAACTTAGACTTTGTTTTTGTGGATAAGTTGTGAATAATAGTATTAGAAAATACAAGTCTCTACTCTGCATGGTTTTGCAGCTGGTTAGGCATGCTCTCAAACCATTGCTAGTTGGTAAGCTTCCTAGGGGTTAGTGCGACGTCCTTGACCGTAGCCTTGGCTCTTCCTTCGGGTGCATGCTTCTGGTTGCCCACAACATCCAAACACGTGTCTTTCTCATCCAAATGCTGCTACTCCAAAGGCTCCACAGCTGGATTCTTTGAAAGGTACCTAGGAAGATTGGGCAACTTGGGTCGGCACAACATGAGTGCTAACAGCCTTTGTGTGCTTTCCTCATGTCGACGCACTCGCCTTGCCCTTCGCTCGACCTACCATGAAGCAAGAGAACTAGCTGCCGGGTAGTGATAGCGTTCATTGTGGTTGCCTCTCTACCGGCCAGACAATCGGCGACCTGACTAAGATCGGCTTAGTTGCACTTGTGTCGAGCTAGCCCTACGCATGGCTGTCTTGGAAGCCAAATCGCTATCTGCTTGTTGCCCGCTACACTTCTCAGGATCAGTGTTGGTTTTGTTGTCGGCATGACTCATCTACTTCAGTTGCCAGTTTTTGATTATGAGAACGAACATCGCTTTTATGTTTTACATCAAGAATGACACGACAATTCAAAAAGTTGTGCCCAAACTTTTGCAATGGAAGCACTAGTGTGGGAGGCCTTCACACATAACCTTTTGAATATAACTAACCCCTCCATGGATATTGACTTTGAAAAAAGTTAGGAGCTCTTTAGACGTGTTAACTTGGACAAGCATCTTACATTATCTCAACCTCCCCTTCTCTTTGGTCATTAGGTCAATACGGATGGGGTCCCAGCCTTAACCCCATTCGTTCAAGTGCCTCACAGTTCCATATTTGCACAGGGACATCAACAAGTTGGATCCAAACATCGAAATTCATTATAGCATCAAAATCAAAGCGAAAATCTTCTGGTAGATTATGAAGTAAAAGTGTCTTGCCAAAGAGCTCGTAGGCCCCCTTTCTATGGACTCCTTGTTGGTCTTCATCCCTCTGAAACTGGAAAATGGTCCAGCTTCTATGTAGATGACGTCATCATAGTATGGAATAATTCAGAATTGATAAATAAATTTAAAAATTATTTATCTGAATGTTTCCACATGAAAGGTCTTGGAGTACTGAAATATTTATAAGACATTGTGATTGCTCATAGTTCCTTATGTGTTTTCTCATCCATGTCAATGAATTGAAAATATATACTTAGCTTGAATTGTGACATTATTTTAAAAACTAGTTTGCTCGGCTTGCGCTCATTGGGGTCCTCTATATAATAAAATCATTGTTTGGCTTTTTCTAAGAGTCCTCTTCCCAATCCTAATAAGTAAAGGCAATGGTGGGATGCTTAGTCTATTTATCTGTTACTCGCTCTGAACCAGTTTATGTAGTACATGTTTTGGCTCAGTTCCTTACGAAGCCACAAGAAGATCATGGCATACAACATTATGTGTGGTGCATTCTTATTATTTGAATGGGTATCTTGGGTAAGGAATACTTTTGTCGGTCACAAACCATTTACACTTGACTGGTTGATGTGAATCAGACCAGGTATTATTCATTTAATGATACCAAAATCAGACTGGTAGTGCAACACATTATTCATTTTGAAATATACAAAAATATTTTTCAAAATATTCTTTCATTCAAAGCTAACGATTTTTCTTTATATAGGTTGTGTTTGGTTGGAGGTAAAATACTTTCTTTGAAGAATATTTTCCAAAGGAAAACAATTCCAAGAAAAATTATTCGTCAATCATATAATCCATTGTTTGGTAGGAAAATAATTTCCTTCCAATAAATTGACAACCTTTTACACTATGAGTGACAGCAAGCCCACTCCCCAGGATTCATGGGGAAGTTCACCCAGGTTCGAGCCCCAGCGAAAGCAGCAGCATTGGCTCTTTGTGCGTCATTAGTCGTTAGCTTGAGAATAGTATGAACAGATACTACCTTGTAATAGAGTCAATAGCATCCAAAAAAATAAATCATATTCCGTCCTTGTCGGGTCGGGGGGTGGGGGCGCCTGGGGTGGGCAATTCCACCTTTTGGACCGATAAATCATACTCCGTAACCGTTAATTAAAAACAAATTTAATGATAATGTTAATCTTGATATCATTCTAACATTTGCTATATATGGTACTCTTCCATTAATGGTTAGTCTCTAGCTGATGATCCATTTGACTTTCTAGTTATTGGGAATAAGTCCAAGAAAGCAGGAGAAGATAACATGAAATTCAACCAACAAAATCCGAGCAATAAATTACCAAGCTCCATACTTTCTCATCCTATCCCTTCTCTCTTTATATATACGGAGTATTCTTCTTCCATTGCACCTTAACATTAATTCTCTGCCTTTCTCTGAATCAATTATTAGAGACCCAATGGACTGCTCAATTAGTGACACCACGGAGGCGGTGGCGGTGATGAGCCCATGCGCCGCTTGCAAGATCTTGCGGCGGAGATGCGCCACCGCCACGGAGAAATGCATGCTCGCGCCGTATTTTCCTCCCGGTGATCCGGTCAAGTTTGTCGCCGCTCACCGTGTCTTCGGCGCTAGCAACATCATCAAATTCTTGCAGGTATCTTGGATCCCGTTCACCCCCTTCCTTCCAACTCAGTGTCACATACGCTTTTTTTCTTTCCTATCACATTCGTCCCTTTGTTATGCGAATTTTTCTTTTTTACATCTCTTTTAAATAAAATGATTTAAACTTAATATTTAAAATAAGTATTTCATTAAAATTAAACATAAAACTACATATAAATACATTTAAAGTTCATTTGAAAAACTATTTATCATTGGGATTAAATTTAAAATTATAAAATCAAAAAAAAAATTAAAGTACATAATTAAATTAACATTTCATTGATTTGCATTTTCTTAATTTTTTAAATATTTATTTAATCAAAAAAATCTTAATTTAATAACCAAAAATGCCTTAAATTTGCATACTATTCTGTTGCATGTTTGCTGGTCAGAATTTAGTCAACTTCATTTATTTATTTTTATCAGAGTACATTTTATAAATGGTCCCTAGTTACACATAATTTTCCAAATTTAGTACCTATTATAGAATATTACACAATTGCTCCTTAATTTTTGAGGACTATTCCATAATCGGTTCTTGGGGTAATCGGTTCTTCGGGAACTATTTGTGAAAAAAATATTTTGTCATATTTGACTTAAAGGACTATTTATGGAATAATGTTCAAACATTGAAAATCATTTATGTACGGAGTAATATTTAATATTTAGAGACTAAATAAAGAAAATAATCTGTAATTAGAGACTATTTATGGTATTTATTCTTTTTATTATTTATTTGATAAAACAAAATTACAACAAAAAAGACGTTTACAATGAATTTGATTGGGTTCAATAAATGTAAAATAAGTCTAACCATATATTTGGATATTGAATGGGCCATCAGGAACTGGCGGAGCACGAGAGGGAAGACGCGGTGAGCAGCATGGTGTACGAGGCGAACGCGCGGCTGAGAGATCCCGTGTACGGCTGCGCCGGAGCAATTTTCCAGCTCCAAAACCAAGTCGACGTCCTCCAGGAGCAGCTCGCCAGGGCTCAGGCCGAGGCGGTCAACATCCAACTCCAGTACGAGTCCCTCATCGCCGCCCTCCTCCACAACCGTGACCTGTCGCCGTCGTATCCGCCGTGCTCTCCCGGTCGGAGCGGCTTCCGAAGCAACTGTGACTACCAGCTGGTCTACGACGGCGGCGGCGGCGGCGTTAATTTGGGTTTCTTCTGGGACGAAAATATTACCACTCTCGACCCGAGCGCGTGTGATCAATGACATAAACAACTGAGTAAAAAAAAATTTGTACACCATAATTTCTTTCAAATCTAAAAAGGAGGAAAGATGACTAATTTATAGAAACGCCCTAAATAGAACAAAAAGAGAAAAATACTAAAATAGAATTTTCATCTTTTTTTTCCTCGAAAAATAATTTAGCACTGTGGTAATGTGACACTGTACACGTACATATTACTATACTTTTTAGTAATGTACATGATCATGTTTAGTAATGTAAATGCATTTTAAGTCCTATTTCAGAAATAAAAACATGGAAGTCTTATTTTGATATATTTTCAATTTTTAGTCCTCACTTGAATCCTATATTAGTATTAATTGAATTTGGTTGGACACTTGGACCTTTTTTATGTTGTTTACCTATATTATAAGTACATTTTTATTATTTTTTAAATAATTTATGTTTACAAATTTAACTCCACAAAATTAAAGAAAGACAAAAGGCAACCATAAAGTTAAAAAGAAAACTTCTCAAAATTTTAGTAATAGTAACCTTTAAGACTAGATGATGCAACATTCATTTCACAGGCCTATCTAAAAATTTGGTTTGTCTTTTTAGAGGATGGATATGCAATGCAACTTTCCTATTACCATATCAGAATCTCATCAACAAACCTTTCTATCCGCCACCTATTTTTAATCTACTTTTACCAATTCCGATCCGCTTCTCTTTCTACTTCAATAGAGCCAATAAAAAAAGAAAATTTTAGGGTAAGATTTAAAATTTTTTATTTCATAAATATGATTTAATAATGTCTAGTGGAGAAATAATGTCCAGTGATGGTGGACATTTAATTAAATAATAATTAATGAATAATGATCAATTGTCCTACATTGGAAAATAAAAATATATAATCTTATATTAAGAAAGTCATTATATTTTAATCCTATTTAATTTAGGTAAATTTCTTATAAAAATAAACCCAAAGCAAAATCAAGACACAAGAGGGAGAAATACAAGTAGAGGAAAAAAAATACCTCAACAACTCACATACCTCCAAGAAAGTCATAAAAAATCTCACAATTGAGAAAAGAAACAGGGTATTGCCCGGATCCAAGAAAAAGAATATCAAGGATCATCAATCAAACGGGTACCACCGATAGCCTTCTCTTCTTCTTTGACGCCAGCACCTACCCGTGTAGTCAAACTTTTCTCTATTTCTTTCATGTCAGCAGCTACCAACGCACGTCAGATTTCTTCCTTATCGATTTCAGCAGCTACCAGCACACGTCAAACTTCTCTCTTCTTCAACGACGTCAGCAGTCACTGACGCACGTCAGACTTCTCTCTTCTCAAAGTTTCTAATTTTCAGCTAGTGTCCAAGCTTCCTCTTGCTTCAGGCAGAGTTCAACTTAATGAGGATGTTAGTTAATAATAATTATGGTAGTATTGATTATGGCAGTATTTGTGTTTTAGTCAGCTTCTATTATTGATTCTTATTCCTAATTGGGGTTATAATCTCCTCTATTTGATTTTGCTGGTTGGGCCACTAAACATCGCGTGCTTTGTTGATTTGTTTGAATGTTTGATGATTTAGAATTACTCTCTTCGACCTAAATTAAATCATCTAGCGGGGAAGATCTAAGGGTTAAAAAAAAGGATGCAGCGAGGACATTGCATTCCTAAGTGGGGGTGAATGTAATACCCCGTATGAAGATGGGAATGGGGAGAGCTCAAAAGGATTGATAGTACTACTCATACCAACAAGGTGCATTTTCTTTTCGAGAGCTCATCACCTAGAAACTTCAAAGTTAAGCGTGCTTGACCTGGAGCAATTTAAGGTTGGGTGACCCCCTAGGAAGTTTTCCTTGGGCGCGCACGAGTGAGGACAAATTGGCGGGATAGACTTGTGTTGGTTTGTGGGGGCAGTCTACAATCCTATGAGCAGACACTTACAGCGAGTGTGGGGGGCGGGGTGTTACAACATATTTTTTTTACGTAAAATAGAACCGAATTTTAACCTTCCTTTTGGTTTTTATTATGGTAAAAACGAACTCGGCCATATGTATAGTTATTGTTTAGTCGAGTTAGTATTGTTACAACTTTTTAATGTTTATAATATTTTATTTTTAAAAATCGAAAAACCAAAAAAAAAAAACTTCAAGTGAAATCCGTATGCAACTGAATTGAATACCATTGATTTACATATTTTTGATGTAAATCAAACTCAACCGCTATCTTACCTTCCGGTGTCTTTGATTTTGGGTGAAAAGCGACCCCACCCCTTATTCTTCCTTTGCCATTTAACTTTTGTGGTCAACATTTTAAGATTGAGGAATGCTAGGGGTACACCACTTTGGGTACTCCATTTGTACACCATCAATCTTAACCCTCTATTTCTTTTTTCATTTTTAAATTCTTTTTCTTCTCTTGCTTTTGTGTGGTGGAGATGGAGGGGGGTACAAATGGGGTATCCCAAATGGTGTACCCCTAGCTTTTTTTCTTTAAAATTTTGTCTACAAATTACCATTAAGATATAAAAGTATTACATTGTGATATAATTTTTTTGAGTGTTGTAAATTTAATATCAATAGAGTAATTATTTTAAAATGTTGTTTTGAAATATTATATTTTTATTTTATATAATAAAAAATTAATACTCCCTCGGTCCGTGAGTATTTGTCTAATTTTGTTTTTTTTCGGTCAAAATTGGTAAACTTTGGCTTCAAATTAAATAAAAATGATATTATTGATACAAAATAATTTTAGTAGATATATTTCAAAATATTATTTTATCTAATTAATACAAAATATATACGGAGTATTTTATTTAATTATAGATCAAAAGTTAAAAATAATTACTCCCTCCGTCCCTGAGTCTTTGTCCACTTTCATTTTTGCACACCATCCAATGCACTTCTTTAATCCATTTTATCTTGTAATTTGTATATTAAAAAATTATAAAGATTATATATTAATAATCTATATGTTAAGACGAATCAAATAAGATCACACATGACTATTTTTAGGCTTACACATTGAGAGAATTTGATGAGTGAAAGTGCTTAGATGAACAGTTTCAAAAGTCAAAAGTGGACAAATACTCTGGGACGGACCAAGTAATTGAAAAAAATCAAAATTGAACAAATATTCAGGGAGATAAATAGAAGTTAAATTGTTTAATGGGAGACAGAGTCAAATTACAAATTTCAAACAAGATTGCCATTTTTTCTTACAATCTGGAACGTCCCAGCCGGCCAGCGGAAATCAAATGACCAACACCGTCGCCTAAGTTGAACTGTGCCCCATCGGAGCTCAATCGGCGGCGGCATTTCTCGTTTTCTCACCCACTGGATCTAAGCAAATTAAGTCCGTCCAGTGCTTCAAAATCTCGCAATCCAGACCCCAAAATCCCTATTCAAGATGAACTGAAGCAGATCTCATCCACGGTCCCAGAACCAGGACAACCCTCGAAATCAACAAATCGCCGCTCGAGAAGGCCCGGAGAAGAAACCCCCGACGAGGAATTATCAGGTGAGGCTCTTTATCTACTTCCCGCTTCTTTTGACATGGCGGCTCCACCGCCGATGGGCGCGAACATGATTGATGCCTCGGTGGCTTCGCCATCCAACCCTGCCAAGCGCTTCCCCAAGCGGAAGAAGGGTCATAACGCAAAGAGGCTACAGGCTATAGAAAAGAAATTAGTTGCCCTTAACAGGAGTTTGAACCCCATCCCCTTTAAGCCCACCATGTTTTTTAATTTTAACAAACACGAGAAGCTGTTGAAGCATCTGGGATTGTGGGACTTTGTCCACATTGAGTTCGATCAGAATATTCGGGCCGATTTGATTGTGCAGTTGGTTGCTTGGTATGATCCTAGACTTAGGTGTAGCTATGTGAATGGATGTAGGATCGGTGTGAATAGAGCCGATTTAGGACGGGCTCTCAAGTTGCATGTGAAGAAGGAGAAGGGTAATGACTTGGACGGGGAGCCCTTCTCCGATGAATCCATTGAATTCATTGAGAATTTTGTGTTGAATTGGGTGTTATTGCACGAGGACTCATGGATAATGCCGGATGAGGTGGTGAGATGCATGAGACTCATCAAGAACAAGCACCCAGAGAAGGTGGACTGGCCTGGGTTGTTCTGGTTCATGGTGGAGAAAGAGTTGTGGTGTTGGGAGAAGTTGGAGGACTGTTACTATGCTTCGCATTTGCAGTGTTTAATCAGGTCACAATGTGAAGCTCTGTTGTTAGTCGAGAAGCCCGATATGGCTCAAAACAAAGAGGGGTTTTTAAATGAGGCTGAGAAGGCACAACCCGTTAGGGAATTGTTGAGCGAGGAACCTCAGAAGGCACCACTCCTTAAAGACAATGTCTTTGGTAATGAACCTGAAAAGTTGCAAAGCAAAGATGGGATGCTTACAGATGAGGACAACAATGTGGGAGGAGACAACAAGCAAGACGAAGAGGAACATGATGTGAAAGAGGGTCAAGAAGAAGGGGTTGTTATGTTGAAAGAGCCAAATCTTGAACTCACACTAGGCCCGGCTATGGAAGATGTGGAGGTGATAGCTTCTGAGGAGCACGTAGAAGAAGTAGAAGAACATAGGTTTTTTGGGAAGCATTACAGCAAGAAAGTTGACAATGAAAAGGAGATAAAGGAAAAAGAGAAAGAATGGGTTGATGATGCTTTTGCTTTTATGCACAATGTTGAGATTGTTGTTGGGGAGATACATCAAGCTACAAATATTCCATTTCCTTTGGGGCCAATCGAGGTATATTTGCAGTTTATGAATTGTTTCCTCGCGTTTTTCCTGTATTCCGTTTGTTCTGAAACTCTTGTTGTCTGTCTGTCTCTTAGATGTGAAGGCCTTGAAAGCCAAGTTTAAGGTTCCGGAGAGGGTTCTCAAAAGGAAGTCCTCCAAGGGTGAAGGCCAAGAGAAGCGCCGGAAGAAGGCTCCCTTACCCCTGGCTTCCCCCATCAAAACATCTTCTCACCCTCCACCACCCAAGAAGAATGCACCTCCTTCTCCATCACCTAATCAGGATAGGGAGGTTCTTCTTTTTAAAATGGCCAACAGGTCCACCAACCAGAACCAGTGGGAGTGCCATAAGCGCACTGTGGAAGATCTCCCTGGGTGTTTGGAGGGAAGGTTCACAGAGAAGACAGCAGAGGGTACCCCACAACAGTCCCCGGCAAAGGAAGGAGATGAGATGGCAAACCGGGAACACATTTTCAATTCTCTTCACAGCTATGAGCCAACACGGGCAGTCCTCAACAACAGAGCAAATGAGGTGGGGGAGGTGGAGATCAAAACCCTTGACCACAAACTCAGGGAGGTTGAAATCGTCCTGCACCCAGAGAGGTCTGAGTCTGAGGAGTGGGCCATCTTTGAAAGAGAGCAGCGGATCAAGTCACTCCAGGCGCAGCTTGAAGAAGCCAAGCATGCCGCCAAGGCCGCGGAGGACAGTGCAGCCCAAGTTACCCAAGCTGCAGAGACTGCGTCCTTGATTGCAGAGGGGAAGCTGATCATAGCGGCGAACAACGCCCGGCGTGCAGAGGACAGGGCTCAAGCCGCGGAGGCCAGGGCACAGAAGGCTGAAGAGACCTCCCAGCGCATGGTTGAACACCTGCACAAGGTGCTCAAGGATCTAGAGGCCCGGCTCCTTGCAGGCCGGTGCTGCAAATGCACGGGAAGCTGCAGCGCTTCAGAGGTACGCAGGCCCTCCTTATAATAGGAAGATAGAGAAAATGCACGGCCAAACAGCTCGAGAATCCAAATTTCCAATCCTTCATGAAAGCAAACGACCAAAGGTCTTTGTTCGGGGAGTTGTAGACCCAATCATCGAATTCCGCGCAAGAAGCGCGAAGAAGTCAATTTAGAGAAGATCTCAATGGTTGTTGTTTCTCTTAAAAACTATTTGAGAGCCCCAAAGGAGTATGCATGTCCCCTCTCAACCTCACCCTATTATCTTCCGCGCAAGAAGCGCGAAGAAGTCAATTTAGAGAAGATCTCAATGGTTGTTTCTCTTAAAAACTATTTGAGTTAACTTTGACAAACTTAATTTTGTGGTTATTTATAAACATCAAATCTTACTCAAAGTCGTGGCTAATGATATACAGGAATTCGATGATTGGGTCTACAACTCCCGGAACAAAGACCTTTGGTCGTTTGCTTTCATGAAGGATTGGAAATTTGGATTCTCGAGCTGTTTGGACCGTGCATTTTCTCTATCTTCCTATTATAAGGAGGGCCTACGTGCCATTTCTGGGCATGTTATGTTACTCCCTCCTTCCTATAATGATCTTCCCAATTTGGTTTACGATGTTTGACTGAAATTATTTTCAATTCAACTTATTTGATTATAGGTGTAAAAATTAAAAATAAAAATTATATCTTTTAAAACTAGATCAAAAGTTATACAAAATAAGAGGTGACATGACTATGTTATTTTATCAAAAAATTAAAGAAAATAGGTAACAAAAATGATTAAAATTTGACAATGTTAATAGTGATTGACATTGTCATAGAACGGAGGGAGTTTATTATGTTATGTTACATTATCAACCAAATCTCTCTCTCTCTCTCTCACATATATAATACTTCCCCCGTTCCCTAAAATTGCTAAAAAAGATGGCATGACCTAAAAAATGCATAAGTTTGATATTATTTTCTAATAATGACTCATCTATACTAAACATCATAATGTACATTATTATAAATAAGGGTAAAATTAGAAAATAATATCAAAATTGTACATGATTTAGGGCACATGTTTCATGTTTGGAAGATTTTATGAAACGAAGAAAGGAACACTTATTGATGGATACCCGGGAATGGGGGTATCCAGCCCAACAGGAAGACGGCCCAACCCAACTTCGCTCAGGCCCACTTGGCGGGACCAAGGCAAAGAACTAGGGAAGACCACCTCGGCAGCAGTACGCACTCAGCCCCGCCACCCTCGGACCACCCTGGCCGGCCTCCCGCCCAAAGGTTTCCGAATACAGGTCATGCGCTCGGCCTCGACCTTAGGCAGCGGCAGACCAGACCTGGACAAGGGAGCTGACTGAAGTCAAGATCAAGGGGTCCACGATTAGACTCCTGCCATGCCTCTGGCAGAGTTGCTATAGCCACCCTACTTGTAACCTACGTTTGTATAGCAATCCTAGGGTTAATTATGTGGTTGGACGCCGCCAGTGAACAACCCAATCTTAGTGGGCCTAGACCGTTGGACTATGGGCCAACGGTCGGAACCCTAGCTGTAATCTGCATATAAACCCCTTCCCTTCTAAAGGAAGGGGGACTTACGTTCTAAGTGATATTCTAACTAGCACAATATTACTCTCAGTTTATTTGACCTCATATTTTGTGCACTCTCGACTTAGTTCGATACTCTTCTGCCTAGTTACCTAGGCCCCCGAGTTCCATATCCCAACACTTATATTAATATTATTATTGCTACTAGATATTATTATTATTATTATTATTATTATTATTATTATTACTACTACTACTACTGCTACTACTATTATTACTACTACGTATTATTATCATCATCGTCATCCTCGTCATTCTCAGTCACCAAGGGATGAAGCAATTATCCTCCAAACTAATGACCGGGCTAAATTCGTTATTGCAGATAGTAGATACAATGTCAACTAAAATAATTTCACGTAACTCATGTCCATAAAGAATTGTGATTCCATTATTCTAAAGTCGATATGTGAAATGTGAACTTTCTTACAAATTTTAATGATCGACATTGGAATCTCTTAGTTTTTTTAAAGAGTCTAATTCTTCTACGATACGGAGTATTAGTATTCAAAAGAGATTCTATTGTGTAAGAAAAGAAATGTAGAAGAGATGCATGAAGAATTTACCGATGTAGACCCGGTTGTACCTAGTGTTATTAAACCCAGATTGGACCGGCTGGACCGACCGATCGAATTACGACCCAGACACAACCAATCCGGCCCAAACCCCGAAAAAAACCAGGTTGCCCCAGAAAAATTAGGATTAACCTGTCCTCCTCGCTGGGTCGACCTCCGGTCTGGGTTTAAAACTATGAGGGCGGTTCGAGTTACATGAACTCCCTATGTCATCCTATGACATGGGCCCCGATTAAGGTACCTACGATGCTCCGTTTGAAAAATTGATGATTTATATCCCCTACCCGGGGGCATGGAATTGGCGGGAGTGCGAAGTATCCGAGGTTCTCCGCTTCCCGATTGATATTGATATTGATTTTGAATGCCCCCGGATACTGCGCAGCCATCCACATCCACCGCTTCTCTGCTTCCCGATCCCGAGCCGTCGTTCTCCGCTGACGATGTGTTTAGCCTCACTGCTGCTTAATCCCAAGAGACTCTTAAATTCCAACAGGAGCTCAATGATTAGAGACTCTTTGAAGCGGAGCATCAACTAAATCTTGTGGCATGTAATTGACGCAAATACAAAGTATTTTTAGGCCGGGTCAGGAGTGGAGGGTTTAACAAAAAGTTAGGAGGTAGGAACTATCAATTTTTTAAAATAAGAATCTCGAATTGATATTGAAATTTAATATGATGGTGTAAAATCATTGGTTGTACCTAAACTTTCTCCCCCATAAAATCGCAAAATTACAAAAGAACGAACTGTAGTGTGTATCGTCCTCACTGATGTCGCTTGGCGCCACCTCCGACGACCTCCATGCTATCGCCACCGAGCAAAGCCGTGAACTTCTTGCGGCGCAGGTCATGGAGTCCGACTTGGAATTCGCCTATCGCCTCCAACTGCAGGAAGCATTAAACGCTTCTCTTTATGCGCAGCCATCCACATCCACCGCTTCTCCGCTTCCCGATCCCGAGCCGTCGTCCTCCGCCGGCGATGTGTTTAGCCTCACTGCCGCTCAGTCACAGGAGATTCTTAAATTACAGCAGGAGCTCAACGATCAGAGGCTCTCTGAAGCGGAGTTCAAGAAAACCCGAGATGATCTCCACCGTCGGATTCACGATCAGCGGTTCGCCCGGGCGATCTCGCAGATGCCGGATGACGAGTGGGAAGACACAGGGGACAATTTTGAACTCCCGTTCGGGGAGGGGAGTTCCAAAAGCTTTACTGCAGAGGTTTTTAGGGTTTATTTTAAAGGTTTGGTCGAAATAAGTGACTCTAAGCTCGTTTTCGGTGGGATTGGGGTTGCAGTCTGCGATTCAAGTGATCAGTTGCTATTCGAATTGACAAAATCTGTGACTGGAAGTGGACTAAATCGTAAATGTGTGGAGTTCAAAGCCCTAATTGAAGGATTGAATGCAGCGATTGCATTGGATTTGGAGAGAGTTGTGTTCTATTGTGATTACAGGCCAATATATAATTTTGTGAGTCTTTCTCTTTCTTTGGCACTTGCAATTGCTGGATATTTGCAATGTATTCATGGTTCTTTCTGAACAATGTTGCTTCTAATAATGTGGTAGAAGCTGTAAATGGGAAGGAAGTGAAAGTATGACTATAGGGTGTCTTCTACTGAATTAGGATAAGGTTTTTGTAGTGTTAAAAGTTATTCTGTTTTAGTGTTTAGGCATTGTTTAGGCTCTATGACATAAAGAATCACTTGGAGTATTTGGGACACTTTTTGTCTTGAACTTATTCTTGTAAGAAATGAAAAAAAAAAGAGAGGATAAAAGCGATTCTGCGTTTAAGTACTCTTGTAGGAGAAGAACCAGTTCTGAGAAGCAGATCAATATCATCAAACACCACCCAAATTGAAGAAGAATGAAGAAATTTTCAGAATCTGGAGAAACCTTTCAACATATGAAACTTTCCATATGGAGTACACAAATCATCCGGTACAAATCGATAACTCAATTTTCAGTGAATACTAATCTACGCATACTACTAGGTGCAGTGTCTTTGATAACTAGACACTGAAGAATAGGAAAATATGGGTTAATGTTTAACAGAGTTTCTGATGTTCATCTATTTTTATCTGCCAATGCGTCTTACTGATATTATGGTACATGTTTAAAGCAATAGAACATGTTTTATCAATTCAATTGACATGTGGAGAACTTGGCTGAAAACTGTGCAGGTAACAGGCCAATGGTCACCTAAGCAGCAAAAAATCGCGGCATTAATGAATCAAGTGAACAAATTAAGACAAAAATTTAGACTGTGCCGTCCGCATCTTGCGACTCGAAATCAAATTAAGTTTGTCTTCAAATTTGCAAGAGAAGCATTGCTTTCTCAAATCACAAAACAGGCGTGCTCTTCTGCTTCTAAGACTGTGTATGAGACTTGTGTGATTTGCTTAGAGGATGTGGATGTTGGACGGATTGTCTCAGTTGATGGCTGCATGCACCGGTATTGCATCTCCTGCATGAAGCAACACATGGAAGTTAAATTGCTTAGTGGGCTATTACCGGAATGCCCTCATGATGGCTGTAATTCGGAACTGAGAAGTGATCATGTTAGTAAACTTTTGACACCTAAGCTTGTTCACCTCTTGAATCTGCGAATCAAGGAAGCTTCAATTCCCGTCGGGGAGAGAGTGTATTGCCCTTTCCCCAAGTGCTCTGCACTTATGTCAAGAAGAGAGGTCTTCGAACACTCTAGAGGAGCCAATATTGATACTGAAAGGTCTGGGGCTAGGGTATGCACAAATTGCAATGGTCTGTTCTGTATTAATTGCAAAGTTCCATGGCACAGTAGAATGAATTGCATTGAGTACAAGATAAGAAATCCGGGGCCACAAGAAGATGTGAAGCTGAAGAGTTTGGCTGCTGTAAAATTGTGGAGACAATGTGTGAAATGCAACCATATGATTGAACTAGCTGCTGGGTGCTACCACATGACTTGCAGGTAGTATCATCCTCTAGCTCTGTTTTTTTGACACAAATATATCAAAGTTGCTAATTTTTACTCCCTCTGTCCCAAATTAATCATCTCTGTTTGACTTCACAGAGTTTAAGAAAAGTGTTGAAACGTAAAAAGTGAATGGTTGAGATTTGGTTAGAGGAAAGAGAAGGATTGTGGACCACGTATTCTTTATTTACTAGGAAAATAAAGAAGTGAGACAATTATTTTGGGACAGACTAAAAAGGAAAATGAGACGATTAATTTGGGACAGAGGGAGTAAATATTAATATCGTTCAGCATGAATCTTAGTGAACCACCATTAACTTGATAATTTCATGTCTTTCCCATCGATTTCATTGTCTAGTAGCTTCACACATGAATGTATCACCATTAGCTGTATACCTCCTATCCGTCTACTAAAAGTTCTCCTTATACCCATGTCCACTGT